AGCGCTTCGGCTTCACGTACTCCTCGCCTCAGGCCACTCCTCTGCCTACTCGCCACTCGCTCTCAGCTCTGCCTTCGGATGAGTCCGTAGAGTCGAGTGGCCCGTACCCAGAGCTTGTTGGCTGCCTCATGTACCTGATGACCTGCACACGACCTGACCTTGCATACTCTCTTAGCATTCTTGCACGCTATGTTGCTCCTGGGAGACACAGACCGGAGCACATGGCTGCAGCGAAGAGGGTGTTGCGCTACTTGTGCAGTACGTCGGGCATGGGGCTTGTGCTTGGAGGGCAGAGTCCAGTGGTCCTCACTGGACACGCAGACGCTTCTTGGGCTGACGACCAGGCTACGCAGCGGTCGTCACAGGGTTACACCTTCAGCCTTGGTTCCGGCTCTGTTTCGTGGCGGGCTACTCGCTCGTCTTCTGTTCTCGGCTCCAGTTGTGAGGCTGAGATCTACGCCGGGGCCATGGCTGCACAGGAGCTTCGCTGGCTCACCTACCTGCTGACTGACCTCGGAGAGCCGCCTCGTTCTCCTCCAGTGCTCTACGTAGACAACAAGGCCATGCTGGCCTTGTGTCGAGAGCAGAGACTGGAGCACAGAACGAAGCACATTGCTCTTCGCTACTTCCTTGCTCGTGAGCTACAGCAGCGTGGTCAGGTGCGACTTGCGTACGTGGCCTCTGAGGCCAACACTGCTGATATCTTCACCAAGGCACTTGCGCCTTGTGATCATCAGCGCTTCTGTACTCAGCTGGGTCTTGTACCTACCTTGCCTCACTTGCTCACCTCTTGACCTTGTTTGTACTGTTGCATATATATATACTCCTGCTCTTGCTTGTCTAGCCTTATATATATATGTAATCCTGCATGTGAACTGGCCTTGTGGCCTTGAACTTGTGCTCGGAATGTGTGGTGACTTTGTGATCCACCCTGAGCTTGCTTTGCTTTGCTTGACTGGTCTTGTGACCCCTTGTTCTCCCCCACTTTGCCTATGGGGGTGTGTCAGAGTTATATGACATAGCTACTGTAGGCTATAGTGGGGTAGCACATATGGGGTACAGTTGCCTAGGGTTTGCCTTTTGTACCCAACTTTCACTTAGTCATTTCATTCCTGTTTTCTTGATTCACAGTGCAATCCCTCCGGTAAATCGTCTCGAAAAATCCCCATGTACCGTTTCAGTAGTTCTTGTAGTTCGGGCGGTACGGCTACCAGTAGTTTCTGAAAATCACTCGGCTCCTCTTCTTCTCTTACTACCGTGATGTCCACTGCGTACACGTCAGCTCCAGCAGCGACAGCCTGTTTCATCGTGATGGCGTTGACGTGGACCGTTGAAGACTCATGCGACTGCCAGCGAGGTAGTGCGACCCAGTTACCGCCGCTTCGCACAGTGTAGCTACCTGTCGTCCAGTCAATTCGCGGGTTGTAGCGTCGTAGCCAATCACGTCCCAGTATAATGTCGTGCCAACCCAGCGTCGTCGCGAGCATTTCCTGTGTAAACCCGAAATTCCCCCCGCATCGAACCTTCACTCTCCACTTTCTCCCGTATAGCCAGTGGCGTGCCGTCAACTAAACGTGCGTCGATCTTCGCTAAACAGCAGCCAAGTGTCAGGTGTAGTTTCCGGGCCGTTGCGGTATTAACTAAGCTGTGACTTGCTCCTCCGTCAATAAAAAACTTCACTGCTACCCCCTGTATTTTTCCGTGAATCAGTATTGGGCAATCTGTCGCTGTACCCTCCTTATTCAGCCGAGCCCGATCGATTGCGTGAATCGGTACTGTGACTCGGTGAGGGTCAGTGAGGTCGGGCGAGCAGTGAGTCTCGTCAGTAGTGGGCCCGTACTCTACTGACTGTTGGCGTTTCCCTGCCACCTAGACTCCCTCCCTTGCTCTGCTCCATGGCGCCTTAGCTTCTCTGGGCATTCGCTCTTGCGATGGCCCGGCCTGTTGCACGCGAAGCAGCGCCCTTTAAACGGCGCGGCGGCTGCATTCGTCGCAACGGCGTGTACAGTGGCGTGCTTGGTCAACCCCCGAGGGCGATGTCCGTAGTAGGACCCCGATCTCGGACGGCGCAAAATGTCGATCTTCTCCGCTAGCGCCAAGATTTCATTGAAGTTCGAGATCCCGCGAAGAAGGATTTCTTGCGAGATTTCCGGCTTCAGGCCGCCGACGTAGCGACCCACTCGCTCCGCTTCATGCATGTAGCCGACTTGCTCACACAGCGCGAGAAAACCGTTGGTGTATTCTTGAACCGACCGTAGCTGTCGCCAAGTGCGCAGCTTCTGACATGCTGAAATCGAGGCCGCGATTGGCTCGAAGCGCGTCCGAAGCCCTGCGCACCGCGCATCCCACGTGCTGTATTGGGCTGTCTCGCAGAATGAACTCCAGGTGACCCCTGGGCCCGCGGGCCCGTCGAGCGCCTGCCCTACCCGCGCCATCGAGCGCCTGCCCTTACTGCAGCCGCCGGCGCGCGCCTGCCCTTTCCGCCGTCGAGCACCTGCCCTACCTGCCGCCCGTCGAGCGCCTGCCCTGCCGTCGTGGCCCTGCCGTCGAGCGCCTGCAGCCGCCGTCGTGGCCTTGCCCTACCCGCCTGTCGCGCCATCGCGGCCCTGCCCTACGCGCCCATCGTGCGCCTACCCTGCCGCCGCCCGTCGAGCGCCGGCCCTACTCGCCCGTCGAGCACCTGCAGCCGCCCGTCAAGCGCCTGCCGTGCCGTCGCCCGTCGAGAGCCTGCCCTACCCGCGCCTGTCGCGCGCCTGCCCTACCCGCCGCCGGTGGCGCCTGACCTACCCGCCCCTGGTGAGCACCTGCCCTACCCGCGCTACCCGCGCACCTGCCTGCCTGCCTAGCCGCGCCGCCCAGCTGAGCCGCGCCGCCCAGCCGAGCCGCGCCGCCCAGCCGAGCCGCGCCGCCCAGCCGAGCCGCGCTGCCCTACTGAGCCGCGCTGCCCTGCCCTCGCTGCTCCTGCTAATACTGCTGCTTCTACTGCTACTGCTGCTTCTGCTGCTACTGCTGCTACTGCCGCCATGGCCAGCCCTACTGTTCTTACCTTCGATGCTGAGGGTCGTGCAGTTGACTTCGATGTTTGGGTAGACGATCTGCAGCTCTTTCTTCAGTGCGACTCTAAGGATGGAGTCTCACTTTTCGATCACACGTCCGGCGCCTCTGCTGCTCCTGCTGCCACTGCTGACAGTACGGTTCGCTCGCAGTGGACTACTCGTGACGCTGTTGCTCGCCTTGCTGTTCGTAGTCACCTGCCGTCTGCTGAGCGCGCGCACTTTGGCCAGTACAAAACTGCTAAGTCTTTGTATGACGCTGTTGTAGCGCGCTACTCCTCCCCTGCCACTGCTACCCTCAGCCGCCTCATGCTTCCGTACCTGCTCCCTGGCCTGGCCGCCTTTGCCACAGTCGCTGACCTCATTACTCACCTCCGCACTAGTGACGCCCGCTACCGCGCTGCGCTTCCCTCCGAGTTCTGCGCCAAGAACCCCCCCCCATGTACATCACCCTCTTCTACCTAGTCACCCGTCTCCCTGACTCCCTTTGCTCAGTCAGGGACCACTTTCTCTCCCTTTGCCCCACCGAGCTCACCGTCGACCTGCTAGAGAAGCGCCTCACTGCAGCTGAGAAGAGTATAGTTGTTGTAGGTGCTTCTCGCGGCGACCCTCGCGCCCCTTTCTTTGAGGGGTGTTCCCCCGTTCCCCTTTTGCCCTCTGTTGCCTCTGCTGCTGCTGTCGACCTCGTTGGCACCGAGGAGGTCGGGGCTGCGTCTGCTTCTAGTGGGAGGCGCCGCTACGGCAAGGGCAAGGGGGGCAAGGGTGGTGGAGGGGACGGCGGGGGCGGCGGTGGTGGCGGTGGAGGAGGAGGAGGGGGTGGGGGTGGAGGCAAGGGTGGTGGCGGGAGTGGGGGCGTCGGTGGCGGCGGAGGAGGTGGTGGAGGCAGCGGCAGCGGTGGTGGAGGCAGTAGCAGCGGCGGTGGAGGTGGCGGCGGCGGTGGTGCTGGTCGGGGTGGAGCCGCGCAGCGTGGAGGCTTTGGCGATGGCCAGCGCCAGCAGCAGCCGCTTTCCCGTGAGACCCCGTCGCCCCAGCAGCTTCGTGAGTGGTACGCTGGGCGTGGGAGGTCTGGGGGTGCTGGTCCCTGCACTTACGTTCTCCGCACCGGCGGGCGCCGTGGGGAGACGTGCGGCCTGCCACACACGCCACATCGCTGTTTCGGTCGCCTGTCTAACGCCTGGCGCACACAGTTTCCTGCCGCCCCTGAGCTCCCTAGCTGGGCTGATCTGCTTAGGCAGAATGTTGATATCTTTGCTCTAGACTTTGATGCTATCCTTGCTGCCATGCATGCTGTGTCTATTAGTGCTGAGGGAGACTGTTACCTGTGTGTGCCGCCTGACCCAGGTATAGAGTCTACTGCTCTAGGTGCTGGTGAGGCTGCTGCTCTAGGTGCTAGTGAGTCTGCTGCTCCAGGTGCTGGTTAGTCTGCTCTCTCTGGTACTGCGCCTGCTGAGGCCTTGCACACCTTCACACTTGACTCCGGTGCTTCCCGCTCCTTCTTTCGCGACAGCACCACACTCACGGCGCTCAGTCGGCCGGTTGCAGTCTCCCTGGCGGACCCCTCTGGGGGCCCAGTCTTTGCGCACTCCTCCACAGTCCTGCCGTGAACCGGCGGTCCCGTCTGGCTCTCTGTCGGGTCTTCACCTCCCCTCGTTCTCTACGAACTTGGTGAGTGGAGCTGACCTCCAGGACGTGTGGGTTGACCAGTTCACCCCTAGAGGTCAGCGTGTAACCCACTGTACGTGCTCTCGGACTGGTCGGCACCTGGCGACGTTCACCCGAGCGCCTGGCTCGAGTCTGTACACACTGACTACTGTGTCGCCTCAGGTAGCTGCGTCTGCGTCTGCGTCAGGTCAGCTAGCGGCCCCCTGCTCGTGTCGCGCTTTGTCGCACCAGACCGTCCTTTGGCACCACCGTCTTGGTCACCCCTCGGTGCAGCGCCTCCGTGGCATGCACCGACGTCTCCTTGTCTCTGGAATCCCAGAGTCTCTGCCTCCTCTCCAACCCTCACCTGCCCCTCCCTGCCTTCCCTGTATCGAGGGGCGGCAGCGCGCCGCTCCTCACTCCTCCTCGTTCCCCCCGACGACTGCTCCCCTGCAGACCCTACACATGGACGTGTGGGGCCCAGCCCGCGTCCGTGGACAGGACCGCGAGCGGTACTTTTTGCTGGTCGTTGACGACTACACGCGTTACACCACGGTCTTCCCCTTGCGCACCAAGGGTGAGGTCCCTGATGTTTTGATCCCTTGGATCCGCGCTGCCCGTCTCCAGCTCCGCGAGCGGTTCGAGACGGACTTTCCAGTCCTGCGTCTGCACTCTGACAGAGGTGGTGAGTTTGCCTCTGACTTTCTTCGGGACTTTGGTCGTGGGGAGGGCATTCGCCAGACGTTCACGCTTCCGGCCTCTCCACAGCAGAATGTGGTTGCTGAGCGCCGCATTGGCTTAGTCATGGAGGTCGCTCGTACCTCCATGGTCCATGCGGCTGCCCCGCATTTTCTGTGGCCGTTTGCGGTCCGATACACTGCGCATCAGCTCAACCTCTGGCCCCGTGTCTCCTTCCCGGAGACCTCGCCCACCCTACGGTGGACGGGGAAGGTTGGTGATGCGTCGGTGTCCCGGGTCTGGGGTTCTCGTGCCTTTGTCCGCGATACTACCACGGACAAGCTCTCCGCCCGTGCTATTCCCTGCGTCTTCCTTGGCTTTGTCCCTGACGCGCCTAGCTGGCAGTTTTACCACCCCACCTCGCGCCGTGTCCTGCCCTCTCAGGACGTCACGTTCGACGAGTCGGTTCCCTTTTACCACCTAAACCCCTACCGCACTGCCTCTCTCCCCCCCCCGCCGCTCTTCCTTGCACCAGGTCCTACTCCGGTAGACCCCCTCCCCCCTCAATGTCCTGCTCCCTCAGGTGTGTCTCAGGTAGACGCTGTCGAGCCTGTCGAGGTCGCGGTTGACTCTGGTGCTGCTACTGGGGGTGGTGCTGCTAGGGGTGCTGAGCCTGAGCGTGCGGAGCCTGGGGGTGCTTAGCCTTATCGTGCGGAGCCTGGGGGTGCTGAGCCTGGGGTTGCTGAGTCTGGGGGTGCTGAGCCTGGGGGTGCTGAGTCTGGGGGTGCTGAGCCTGCGGTTGCTGAGACTGGGGGTGCTGAGCCTGCTGGAGTTCCTGCAGGTACCTCGTCTCGGCGGGAGCCTCTCTCTCCACCGCAGCTGCGCGAGTGGTTTGCTCGCCGCTGGAGACTCCAGCGAGGAGCTGATGGAGCTGGAGCTGCTGGAGGTACTGCTGGTGCTGGAGCTGCTGGAGGTGCTGGAGCCGCTGGTCTCGGAGGTGCTTGTGCTGGAGGTACTGGAGCTGCTGGGGCTGGTGGTGCTGCTGGAGCTGGAGCTGCTGGAGGTACTGCTGGTGCTAGAGCTACTGGAGGTGCTGGAGCCGCTAGTCCCGGAGGTGCTCGTACTGGTGGTACTGGAGCTGCTGGAGCTGGAGGTGCTGCTGGAGCTGGAGCTGCTGGAGGTACTGCTGGTGCTGGAGCTGCTGGAGGTGCTGGAGCCGCTGGTCCCGGAGGTGCTCGTACTGGAAGTACTGGAGCTGCTGGGGCTGGTGGTGCTGCAGGAGTTGGAGCTGGAGGCGCTGGAGCTGTTGCTGCTGAAGGTGCTGCTGGAGCTGGAGCTGCTGGAGGTGCTGGAGCTGGTGGTGCTGCGGGAGTTGGAGCTGGAGACCCTGGAGCTGGAGGTACTGGTGCTGTCTCTGCTGTTTCTAGAGGCGCTGCGCGGCCGCGGCCGTACTACGTTCCGCTCCTTCAGCAGGTTCTTGGCCTCCCGCTTTCTACTGGTCCTACTCCTCCCTTACTGTGTCCATCGCCTGACCAGTCGCAGTCATAGTTACAGCCAGCCTCTCCCCTGCCTGGTCCTTCTCCTTACTCTGGGCCGACTAGAGGTCTTACGGAGCGTCGTGAGCCTGAGTCTCGTCCTGCGTCGCCTGTTCGTGCTGGTCGCACTGGTAGTCGAGTTCCGCGTCCGCGTCCTCCGCCTGTCCCAGGCACGCACCAGATGGCACTTCATCCGTCTACTGCTCCACAGCGTGTCCCTCTGCCGTCTCCTCCTGCGTCCTCGCTTCCTGACGTCCCTGACCCGCCGTCAGACCTTGCTCGTGCTGCCAGTCCTACTGTCACGCGTCTTCTCGCTACTGTTGTCACTGACCCTTCGTTTGAATCCACTGATGCGTCTGCCCTAGTTGCTGAGCTTGTTTACTTTGCTGCCGCCTGTCGTCTAGACTACGCCGCTTGTCTTGTTGCTGAGTCTTAGTCTGTCTGTCCTCCGTCCGTCGGGGGTGAGTATGCTCTTGGCACGGACGTCCTTGAGGACAGACAGGAGGAGTTTGAGTGTTTTGCCGCTGCTTTACCTCATCTCGTGTCCATGCTGCTTGCACCTGAGGGAGACCCGGATGCACCAGACATCCCGACCCCGCGCTCTTACGCAGAGGCGATAGAGGGTCCCTACTCCTCTCAGTGGCAGACAGCCATGGACGCAGAGATGGCTTCCTGGAAGTCCACAGGCACCTACGTCGACGAGGTTCCCCCACCTGGGGCGAACATCGTCAGTGGCATGTGGATTTTCAGGGTGAAGCGGCCGCCGGGTTCTCCGCCTGTCTTCAAGGCGCGTTACGTTGCACGAGGCTTCAGTCAGCGAGAGGGAGTTGGACTTCTTCCAGACCTTCTCCCCTACCCCGAAGATGACCACTCTTCGGGTGCTGCTGCACGTCGCCGCTCAGCGTGACTACGAGCTCCACTCTCTTGACTTCAGCACAGCCTTCCTACAGGGCAGCCTGCACGAGGAGATCTGGCTGCGCCGCCCACCTGGCTTCACTGGGTCGTTTCCTACTAGTACCCAGTGGAGCCTCCGGCGGCCAGTCTACGGTCTCCGCCAGGCGCCCCGTGAGTGGCACGACACACTGAGGACGACTCTTGCGGCTCTTGGGTCCCGTCGCTGTTTCTACGCACCGACACCTCTCTGCCGCCGTTCTACGTCCTCGTGTACGTCGACGACTTGGTCTTTGCTACTGCTGACACTAAGGGACTCGCCCACGTGAAGTCGGAGCTGCAGAAGAGACACACGTGCACAGACCTGGGTGAACTGCACAGCTACCTTGGCTTGCAGATCACCCGGGACAGAGCACAGCGCACCATTACTTTGACTCAGTCACACATGGTGCAGAATGTCCTTCAGCGCTTCGGCTTCACGTACTCCTCGCCACAGCCCACTCCTCTGCCTACTCGCCACTCGCTCTCAGCTCTGCCTTCGGATGAGTCCGTAGAGCCAAGTGGCCCGTATCCAGAGCTTGTGGGCTGCCTCATGTACCTGATGACCTGCACTCGACCTGACCTGGCATACCCTCTTAGCATCCTGGCACGCTATGTTGCTCCTGGGAGACACCGGAAGGAGCACATGGATGCCGCTAAGAGGGTGTTGCGCTACTTGTGCAGTACGTCTGGCATGGGGCTCGTGCTTGGAGGACGGGCTCGAGTTGTCCTCACTGGTCACGCAGACGCTTCCTGGGCTGACGACTTGACTACGCAGCGGTCGTCACAGGGTTACACTTTCATCCTTGGCTCCGGCTTTGTTTCGTGGCGGTCTACCCGCTCGTCTTCTGTTCTCCGCTCCAGCTGTGAGGCTGAGATCTACGCAGGGGCCATGGGTGCACAGGAGTTACGCTGGCTCACCTACCTACTGACCGACCTGGGAGAGCCGCCTCGTTCTCCGCCAGTTCTGTACGTCGACAACAAGGCCATGATTGCCTTGTGTCAGGAGCACAGACCGGAGCACAGAACGAAGCACATCGCTCTGCGCTACTTCCTTGCTCGAGAGTTGCAGCAGCATGGTCAGCTTCGTCTTGCTTACGTGGCCACTCAGGCCAACACTGCTGATATCTTCACCAAGGTACTTTAGCCTTGTGATCATCAGCGTTTTTGTACTGTTCTAGGCCTTGTGCCTACTTGGCCTCACTTGCTCACTTCTTGACTTTGCTTGTACTGTGATCTATATACATATACCTGCATGCTTGCACTTGCTAGGTTTTGATCACTGTACTGTTTGTTCTCCATTATATAACTCTGCATGTGAACTGGCCTTGTGGCCATTTGCTTGTGCTCAGAATGCGTGGTGACGTCGTGATCCACCCTGAGCTTGCTTTGCTTTTCTTGACCGGTCTTGTGACCTCTTGTTCTCCCCCACTTTGCCTATGGGGGTGTGTCAAACTTATATGACATAGTCTGTGTAGGCTGTAGTGGGTTAGTCAATATGGGGTACAACACTTTTAGGTTTTCCTACTTGTACTTCTCATTCTGCTCAATGCAATCATTCCTCGTTCTATTCTTTCACAGTCCATGGTGGGGCCCCGCAGCAACGATACGACTTATCGAATCTTCGCTGCATCCGACGTGACGTAGTTCGCGTAAAAAAACACGTTCATCGTGAAAACCCACGATTGAACCGTCGGACCTCCACGCTGGCTAGGATCGAAGCAGGGCGGGCGCTGCGGCTTGAGTGGCATCGGCTCACCAATATCGTCGTTGACGGCCGGTGCTGCAAACCCGACGTGACGACGAGCCTCGCGATGTGCGTTTACGCCCGGTGCGGTCCTGGCTCTCTCCATGCCCGGCATAGATTGGGCGACGCCATCGCTGACTGCGCCTGAGCGCTGTCCCACGCTGTCGTGCAGCGACGGTGTGCCTGATGAGATGACAATCGGCTCATATGATTGTGCAGGTGCATTTGCGGGTGCTGGCGCTAGTACATTTGATGTTGATTGCTGGCGTGCTGAATCGCGTTCCGCCGTGAGTGTCGCGATTTTGAGCGATGACTCCTCGAGCTGGCGCAATAATTCGTCGAGGCGGTCTTGCTTCAACGTAGCGAGTTGAATGAGGCGAGATTCGTCCATGGTGGGGGTGTCGGGCTAGCTTCAGCGAGAGCCTTAGTCATGGCTGAATGTGCTTACGAGAGAGCACACGGACAGCGGTGCTTGGTCGCTGAGAGACGTCTACCCCCTCCAAAAAAACGAGATAATGGGGAAGCGAAGGTGTGGGCGCGGTCCGAGAAGAGATCGTAGGCTCTGATTACCAAGTGTTACGAGTGCAATTGAGTGAGCGAGCGAGAATTGCATTATCGAATCAAGATTACAATGAGCGAAGAAATGAGCGAACAATATATAGCGAAAGCCTAGCGTGGTAACGGTCATGCGCGAGAATGTGGTGCGCGACGGGCCTAGCGCCGAGGTTGGGAAATGTCGAGGCGGAGGGCCGGAGCGCGGATTACCAACCGAACCGTGAGGTTGGGTCGCGAGGTGTACAGTGGCGGGAACAGTGGTCGAGGGAGTGTCGCGAGCGGGTAACGTTTCACTGTTGGGTGCTGTTGGCGGGAACAGTCGTGTACGAGAGTTATGCAGGGGTTCTAAGTAAGGAAAAGGAAAATTTCACAGAATCCAATAAGTGTCTCTGCATTTCAAACTGTTGCAGCAAAAATGTTAAAAGAGCACCCCCGGTTGTTTTTTCCCTTGTGCGTTTGATGGTTTCAAATATGTACGAATCGCTATGCGAAGCCGCCCTTTTGCACGAATCTGGCACTGACACGGCATACTATGTTCTGACACACGATTTCCTGGCACACTGCGTCAGGTTTGCCCTTTCGTGGATGTGTCAGGAGCACCAATCTTTGGCAATGAGGGACCTCTCAACCCACAGGCAGGCTGCCGAGATTCTTTTCGTACTCCCTTCACGAAGGCATGCGGTATTTCGGAAAATGAAATTGTAGTTCCTGAGATCCTTTTTTTACACAGTGCCATACAAAACAGACTCAACTATAAGCATTAATAGCGATCGGCCTTGTTAGAAGATACCATGAAAGTCTTGCTTGCTGGCAAGGTGGAGATTCGTAAATTGCACGACGGAGACGAGCTAAAAGTCTTGCTTGCTGGCCACTGCTGCAGTCATGATTTTCCATCTGCCTCTGCAGGTGCATTCAACAGATCAGCCTCCCCGTCCTCAACGAGGTACTGCTGGAAGTGAGACGCGTTGGCAGAGATGCAGGTCTGCAGCGCGGAGAACTGGGAGACGCAGTCTGAACCCTGCAGTCAGAGCGACAAGGGGAGAGGGAGAGGGGGTGAGATGCGCAGCGAGGCGTGAGCATGTGAGATGCATTAGCCGAGATGCAGGACTGCAGTGCGGAGAATTGCGAGACACATGCTGAACCCTGCAGTCAGAGACACGAGCGGGCGGAGGAGGGGGGGGGGGGAGGGGATGGGGAGTTGCGTGTGTATGTGAGAGGCGATGGTAGAGATGCGCAAAGGAAATGCAGAGAATTGAACAGCTCGAATTTCTCTAAAGAAAACGCTCTAGCACACAGTTAACCAGGCTTTTCATTCATTGAATTCATGGGGTTTGATCCGTCGTCCTAGAACCATTCAAGTTGATGGAAATAAGACCTCCGCAGCCCACCTGTCCGCTACTGACAGCGCTCGAACACTCCTCCTCCCCTCATCCCCTTCACCTGGTCGTCCTCCTTGCTAACATAGTAACACCGAAAGCTCTCAGCAAACTGCTTCCAGAACAGAACGCCCCTCCCCCTCTCTCACCTGCAGCACTGGCAATCCTCGTCTGCTCCTCTCACCTGCTCCATGCTATTCCCATCCCATCCTCCCTCCTCACCTGGCCCACCCCATTCTCACCCGATCCTCCTCCTTGCTGACGTAGTGACACCGGAAGCTCCCAGCACGTTTCCGCATCAGAACAGCTTAGTAGCAGCAATGGGAATCCTCAGCTCATCCCCTCCACTTCAAACCTCCCTTTCTTCCCCCCTCGTCCCCCCCCCCCATTCTCACCTAATCCTCCTCCTTGCTGACGTAGTAGCACCGAAAGCTCTCAGCAAACTGCTCCCAGCACGCCGCTCCACCTCGACCACCTGCAGCATTGACAGTCCTCTGATCTGCTCCTCCCATCTGCTCCATGCAATTCCCATCCCATCCTCCTTCCTCAGCTGGTCCCCCCATTCTCACCTGATCCTCCTCCTTGCTGACGTAGTAACACCGGAAGCTCTCTGCAAACTGCTCCCAGCACGCGCCGTCTCTCAGCTTGTCCAAACACGGACACTCCAGGGCCCTCTGTGCCCTCTCCTCATCACTCTCCGCCTCCCCACCGCCGCCTCCCTCCCTCCCTCCTGTAGCTTGACTCTCCGCCTCTGGTGGGAGAAGGGCACGCCATGGGATGGATGGAAGCATAGTAGGATGAAAGATGGATACTCCAGGGGCCTCTGTGCCCTCTCCTCATCACTCTCCGCCCCCCCCCCTCCGCCTCCCTCTCGTCCTCCTGCAGTTCGGCTTTCCGCCTCTGGTGACAGAAAGGCACGCCAAGGGATGGATGGAAGCACAGTAGGATGAAGCCGAAATTGTCCCTTGATTCAACCTAAGCAATGCCAATTAGCCGGATGGGAAAGTGGGGGAATGCTGGCTGCAGCGACGCAATGCGCAGAATACGCATAAAGCATCTGCATGCAAGTCTCACGGCACCCTAGAGCGGAAGAACGAGAATTCCGGGCCTGATCAAGGGTGCAACGACCATGGGTAACACGGCTAAG